ATATCCGCGCGCCCGCACTGCCGACGCCGCGCGCAAATCCGTTGATTCGCGCGATTTGTTGAGCGCATCACCTTGCACTGATTCTTTGAGAGCGAGAATAGCCCTGCGAGAGCATCAGCTGGTTGCCGACAATGGACGCGGGAGTGAAGCTCGTGAGCCCCACGCGGCCGCTCCGGCGCGTCGCCGGCCCCCTGAACGTGCCCGTGCCCATGGTGACCATCGAGAAAGGGGCGCCGTGCCGGCGGCCCCGGTTTATCTCCTTCGACGAGACCGCGTTTGACGCCCCCGGCCCCGGCCCGTCCCGCAAGCGCGGGGCGGCGGGCCTCGACGGCTTCGAGTCGGCCGGGAGCGCCTCGTCCTGCGGCTCCGAGGCCTGCACGCCCCTGCGCCTCGACTTCGACGCGTGGGACTCGGACGGCGACGATTCCGCGGCTTCCGCGGGCTTCCGGAGCCCGTCCCCGACGAAGCGCCGCCGCCCGGCGCCCCCGACCGTGCGGCGGAAGTCGTGTCTCGCGCGGCCCGGCGACTCGCCCTACACGCCCGAGGTGGACCGGCTCGCGGCGCTGAGCCCCGGCCGGCTCGAGGAGCTCAAGCGGTTGACGTTGCGGAATTTGGAGTGCTTCGCGGGCGACGGGCTCGCCGTGCGCGTCCAGCTCGACGAGCTCCGCGAGCGCCTCGTCGAGGCCGCGTCCGGCGGCTCCGGCGACGACGCGTCGGACCCGCACGAGCGCGAGACGGTCCGGTCCTTCGGGCCCCTCGAGCCGCCGCGGACGCCGGCCTCACGGCGTCCGCGGCGGCTCGAGGGGCCCGAAGGACCGGACCGTCTCGCGCTCGTGCGGGTCCGACGCGTCGTCGCCGGAGCCGCCGGACGCGGCCTCGACGAGGCGCTCGCGGAGCTCGTCGAGCTGGACGCGCACGGCGAGCCCGTCGCCCGCGAAGCACTCCAAATTCCGCAACGTCAACCGCTTGAGCTCCTCGAGCCGGCCGGGGCTCAGCGCCGCGAGCCGGTCCACCTCGGGCGTGTAGGGCGAGTCGCCGGGCCGCGCGAGACACGACTTCCGCCGCACGGTCGGGGGCGCCGGGCGGCGGCGCTTCGTCGGGGACGGGCTCCGGAAGCCCGCGGAAGCCGCGGAATCGTCGCCGTCCGAGTCCCACGCGTCGAAGTCGAGGCGCAGGGGCGTGCAGGCCTCGGAGCCGCAGGACGAGGCGCTCCCGGCCGACTCGAAGCCGTCGAGGCCCGCCGCCCCGCGCTTGCGGGACGGGCCGGGGCCGGGGGCGTCAAACGCGGTCTCGTCGAAGGAGATAAACCGGGGCCGCCGGCACGGCGCCCCTTTCTCGATGGTCACCATGGGCACGGGCACGTTCAGGGGGCCGGCGACGCGCCGGAGCGGCCGCGGGGGCTCACGAGC